CATGGACTAATTCCGGGTTCAAATAAATTTACGAGTAAATTTTGACAAAATATGTGTTGTCCTCTATCAGTATCTGCGTCTACTATAAAAGGAAAGATTTCATCATCATCTGGAGTTTCTTCACCTGGAGTGTGCGTTGAGCTCATTTTTTCGTTCGATGACTGTTAATATGTAATTATTAATGTGTCGAATTGGTTGATTCCAATTGTATAAATGTACTGGTTTGTGTTTGTACTGCTTTTTTATTCTTCTTTTTCCTCTTTGTGATGAATTTGAAGTTGTTTCTGAGTCAGAGAAATATAATTGATCGTGAATTGGGCAATTTTTATCTATTGATTCTTTTAGTTTGTAAAGTTCGTCTAAACTGTTGGTTTCTGATTCTGAAAATGCGTTTCGATTTTTTGAAAATCTTTTTCGTGTTATTTGTCTTTGTTTAGTTATTATTTTTCTCTTTAGTGTTTGTCGTTTTGTTCGAATGTATCCAACTGTTTGTGTATGAGGTGTGATTACAAGGTCGTATTTTTTGTTGTCTATTTCACAATTGTGTAAAACGATTGTTTGTTTATTTCCTAGGTTTTTAAATGACATAAGGTTTAGAATGACGGATGCAAAGGGTTGTTAAATGATTTCTATTTTCCTAAACTGTTAGTTCTTACGATTTTTTGGTTAGCTTAACCTGGGTCTGTTTGTTCAGGGTTGGAGAGAAAAGTATATCGATTCCGAAGAATGATTTTTTACTTTCTCGTGGCTAGTATAAGTTAAGGTGTTAACTTACTTAATCTTACTTAGGGGTAGTGATTGTGTTCAAGGGTTGGAGAATAGTAAATCGATCCACAAGGTTCAGGTATAATTAGAACGCGAGTAGTTCGTTAGATACTATTTTAAACTTACTAAGTCTAAGATTTATCCTGGGTCTGGTAAGAGGGGGGGTCAAGTGAAGGATGAATAACCGAAGTTCTTCACTGTTTATCCTAATTTGAATGATTAGTTTTGTTTAAAAATTTCTATTAGTCTTGGGTCTTTAGAAAGGGTTGGGTAGTGAATCGACGTTTGAGGTCGTTAGACACTAATTAAGTGGGTGGGGGAGAACAAAGTTGTTCTGTTTGATCCAAGGATAAGCCTTGATGATCAAATTTGAAATTTAATTAAGTAGAAAATGATTTAAGATCCAAGGATAAGCCTTGATGATCTGGTTTTAAAATTAAGTGAATTTAAGTTTTAATAAATTTTTAAATGTGTGTAAAGGAAAGATTTAGTGTTTTGATGATATTAGTGGGTTTATGATTGCTGTTATGTTTTAGATGATGGAGCTGGAACAACAGGATGATTTATGATTACTAACCATTTATTGTCATGCTACTAATTTTTATTTTTATTTTTCAATAAATATTTTTCAAACATGTTTTGTATATTACTGCAGAATTTTAGGAAAACGATCTTAGATCTTTTTATCAATCGTTATTGTATATTAATAATTTTGTTTAGCGCCTGAAATGATTTTGAAGATTAACTTCAAGATTTTATGTTTGCAAATGAAAATCTAAATTCATTGCCAGTAATATTCTAAATATAAAAGTTTGTTCTGGTTTTTGCCTAACTATCATATAGCTATATGGCAAGTTTCTACTTTGTCGTATGTCGTCTCTGGTTCGAGGTCTTCTTCCAATTCCGGGTAGTTCTGTTATGGTTCGGAATATTGGCTCTGATCTATTGAGTCGTAGAGACATTTCGATTAAATTATTGTCGTATAACATTTTGTAAATGTTTTTGTCTAATTTCTAATCTATTTTGGTTAATTCTAAGCTATTAAGGTCTTGTTCGAGACTTATGGTCGCACCAGATGAGTTAGGACCGAGTTGGTTAACTCATAGAGTTATTTCGGATAGGGTACACCGTCTGCTCGTCACGCTATCTTATTTTCGGCCGGATAGATTCGTGTAACTTCTTAGTCTAATACCGATCCTAATCTTACTCTTATACTATCTAGTCTCAGGTTGTTTAACTAGTCTCTGCTAGGCTCAATAGATCTAGGGTATACTGGTTTATTGCGGCTGCTGAAGTGCTCGGGAGAGTCCAACTAATTTCTAAGTTAAATTCAAATCTCTCTGGTGCTGAAATTACAAGTAACTTCAGCACTTACAAATAAGTGGGTTGTTAGTTAGATGGATCATGATTGGTTAATATTAAATACTTTACATTGGTAAAATATCTAAATTATCCAATCATAAAATGTAGTTTAGATCAGGTTCCAGAAGTCAATTTTGGATGTTTGTACCGTTCTTTGCAAACTTTTTGATTTTCCTCGAAAACTACTTAATCAAATCTAAAATTTTAATTTCAACAACAAGAAAGAATTTTTGCAAAGCTGCCTTGCATTAGTGGCCAAGCCCAAATTGTTTTACACTTTTTAATGGCACTCGGAAAGCCAAATTTTTGATTTTTTTGATTTTTCAAACTTTTGACATTACTCGAAAAATGCCCCCCAAATCTGAGATTTTGATTTCAATCAAACGGACGGGTTGTGGATAGCTCTACTGCCTTAGCGTCTAAACCCATATTTTTCAATACAAAAAATTATCGTCTTTGGAAAAGTCGTATTTTTGATTTTTTGACCGTTTGTTGAAACTTTTTGACTTCTCGAAAACCAAAAAAAAATTGAGTGTAAGAAACTTGCTGCAAAAACGGCTCTTCACATTTTTTTCCGCGGAATTTAGGGTCCTCGGAAGATAAAAATTTTAGCTTTTTAGAGCCCTTTTGTGAAATTTTTTTGTCTGTTCTCGAAAACCACCTTACCAAATGCGAGAGTTTGTGTTCATTGGAGGCAATGGGTTGCATTAAGCTCCCCTGCATAGTCCGCTACGCCCATTTTTTTTCCACTAAAATTTATGGCCCTCGATAAGGTCCAAATTCAGGTTTTCCTGAAATTTTTGAAATCTTGACTTAGCTCGAAAACTACCCTGCCAAACCTGATATTTTGGGTTCGATAGATCGACCAGATTGTGGGCGCCTCCCCTGCATAAGTAGCTACAACTGAAATTTTTACACCTGAAATTATGGTCTTTAAAAAATGCAAGTCAAAATTTTGACTTTTCTACCGTTTTTCAAAGTTTTTGGCTTGTCTCGAAAACTCTCTCCAAAATATGAGATTTTCTGAGCAACCAAAAGAAAGAGTTGAAAGAAGTATCCCTGTATAACCAGCTCTGTTTTTGCATATAGACAATTTTCGGAATGTTTGAAATCACTCGTTTCAACCCGCTTCAGTACAAAATCAAAAATTGTCAAATAGGTACTTCCAGCTTTAGCTAGTCCCTGATGCTATAGAGATGCAAGGTACTCTCGTGCTTTATTTGTCGGCTCTAATGTGTTTAAAGGACAAAAGTCGACGGGATGGTACACAATGTGGACTACCTTGGTACCATTTTGCCTTCAAATATAGGCTCGCAGTTTCTTTTTTATAAAAACAGCTATAATGAAAATGTATATGACGTGCTTTATTGAAAACTTGAAAAAAAACTTGTTCGAGACGCTTTGGAAAAGCTTTTAACTTTTTCCTAAATTTTAGATTTTTAAAAGAACTCATTTAAAAAATTTTAAAAATGTAATACAATGGAAAGATCGCCCACTCCCCAATGTGGCTGGATATTCCCCTAGTCTCTTACCATACCTCACTATCTGCGGGGGAATGTCTGACCCAATTTTTCGGATTTTTTTTTTCGTTTTCTTGAAAGAACTCTCCAAAATCTGAGACTTTGATTACAATCGAAAGTGCAATTTGTGGAAGGTTTCCTTGTTCTAGCGGCTACGCCCAAATTTTTTACACAAGAAAATATGGCCCTCAGAAAAGTCAAATTTTCGATGTTTTGACCGTTTTTTGAAATTGTTTGAAAATCAACCCTCACAAATCTACGTTTTTAATTTCAATCGAAAAAAACGGGTTGTGTAAAACTCTCCCGTATAAAAACCACGCCTATTTCGTACATCAAACGTTATGACCCTCGGAAATTTCAAAATAGTGATTTATTGACCGTTTTTCTCAAAAACTCCCAAATCTGAGATTTTGTGGATTTAGAGCTAAGGACTTGTGAGAAAATCCTCTGCTTCTGCGGTTTAAAAAATATTAAAATGAATATTTATGGCCCTGGAAGAATCAAATTTTTGATGTTTTTGAAACTTTTTTGACTTCTCTTGAAAACTGCGCTACCAAAGCTGAGATTTTGACTTCAAATGAAAAACGAGTGTTTTTTAACAAATTTTGGTTGTCCTCGGAAAAAATATGTTTTTGAGTTTTTGACCGTTTTTTTTTTAAATTGATTGATTTCTGGAACACTGGCTTCCCAAATTTCAACCGAAAAAGCAGGTTGTGAAAATCTTCCTGCACAAGCGGCTTAGCGCATTTTTTAGGGTTCTCAAAAATTTAAGGTTTCTCAGAAAGTCCAATTTAGATTTTTTTGACTTTTTTGAATTTTTTTGACATTTCTCAAAATCCTAGTCCCAAAATCTGATATTTTGCTTAGCTCATTTTTTTTAACAATTTTTCATTGTCCTCGGAAAAGTCATGTTTTTTTTGACCGTTTGTTGAAATTGGTTAACTTTTCGAAAATTCTTTTCCCAAATCTGAGCTTTTGATTTCAACCGAAATTACAAGTTGTGAAAATTGTCCCGCAAAAGCGGCTTTGCCCATTTTTCAGGGTTCTCGGGTTCTCAAAAATTTAGATTTCTCGGAAAAGATAAATTTTAGATTTTTGATCATTTTTGAAACTTTTTTCTTTTCTTGAAAACTACCATCCCTAATGTGGTGATGTTTTTATACAAATTGTTAGGGCTCCTTGAAAAGTCATATTTGTGATTTTTTGACCGTTATTTGGAACCTTTTGATTTTCTCTAAAATTACCCTCCCAAATCTGAAGTTTTGACCTCATTCGAAATATCATGTCATGTAAAACTTCTCTGCATAATCGGCTGCGCTCACATTTTTTGCAAAAATCTAATTGATGTGATAGACTTATTAAATAGATGACTTTTTTTTTATGGCAAACCGGATTTTGTAAACTGGGTAGCCCTATTCTACGAAAGGATTTTAGAGATCCGGTTGTATGAGCACGGTCTTGTAGCAACATTTCTATACATTGATCTTATTTTTTTTCAACCCATTTGAAAGAAATTGTTTTCGAAACTGTCCGGCTAACCAATCTGGGAAACCTCATTGCTCATCAGTTTGTTTGGACTCTATCCCGTTAAGCTTGTCCAGTTTTGTGGTGACCTCAGGTGGACTCCCAGTGGTTAAGGAAACTTGGTGGCTTACCGACTTGCTTTGAATTATTTGTTCTATTTCCCTCAGATATGCCCTACAAAACTCAAAAGTATACGTCAACGGACGATGATGAATTGAGTCAAGTCAAGAATGCGTGTTCAACGGAATCATGTCCAGTCACGACAAAATTTTTTTTAGCTCCTGCTGATTTTGACGTAGCTAAGCCCTTCAAATCTAGATTTTTATGCAGCAGCGCTACCAACTTTGATAGCAGAAATTACGAAGCAAAGTCTTAATAGATTTCATCTTCTGCCAGTAGTGTATCTCTCGATTGAACGGGATTCGAGAGTTTTCACGGCATTCGTCAGAAGAACTGCATTTTTTAAATTGCTTTTTTACTATTGATGAGAAACCACAAACCCAGCACAGTCAGCTATTCCTGCAGATGCAGCTCAAGAACGCAATGAAATCAGTGACACGTCGACTTTTTCCTACAGAATGGTTAATGTTGTGCACAATTTTATCAAGCAATCGGAGATCAAAATTTTAGAATTTTAGAGCCTATGGATAATTCAGCTATTCGAAGATTTCTCGTCAATCAAGCAGCCACTAAATATGACCCCGATATCACGTGCTCGTGGACATTGAAATGTAGTTGCCCAACGTGTGTTTCTTAATACGCCATTTTTGTCAAATTTTAACAAACTCTGTTGCCTTTTGTGTACATTCTTATACATAGTATTGTTTTCCCAGGTTGACATCTATAGACCAAAAATGCTAATCATACAATTCCATAAAATAAGTCTATGAAAAAATACTAATCATACAATGTTCATACTTTTTGCTAAAATGGTGTCGTCGAATTTTCGAAAACTTTTCTCTTGTTTTGGCATAAAAATCGGTGTATCGTACTAAATAAAAAAGAAAAACTTTTTAAGAAAAAAAAATGCTAACCATACAATTTCCATATATGGAAAATGTATAACTAGCATTTTTTTGATGGCGACGTCAAAAATTTTTTTGTATTTTTTTGAAATTGCCACCAAAATTTTTTTTTGTGTTTTTTTTTCAAACGCAAACTGATTTTCGTACTCAAACAAACATTTTTTGAAAAAAAAAATTTTGCGTGCAAAATTTAATTTTTTTGTGTTTATAACGTAGTCCTGGATATACTAATATTGGATTTTTTTCCTTTTCTCTTCAGAACTTTTTTCAAAAACGCTTAAAACTTTTCTTTTTTTGTATGACATGTTTTTGTATGACTTGCTCAATGTCTGGTAATTTAAAAATTCAAATTTTAGAATTAATCATCTTTGAAAAACTTTGCCAAAATTTAAAAGTTCATTACTTCCGTTATTTTATTTGTGTGAGACAGACTTAAAACATTTCAGGCTGTTTCCAATGCATTTTTAATGCAAGAGTGTTAAACCTTTGGTTACTATGTTTGAGTAACTAAGGTGTATGTCATTTGTGTTCGGTTACGAACACAACCAAAAAATTTTGAGAAATTAGAATTTAAAAAATCTATAATTTTGGTTTATAGAAAAACGCTAGTCGTACATTTTCCATATATGAAAAAATACTAGTCATAGACCTTTCATGCAATTTTCTGTACTTATGGAATTGCATAAGAAGTGTATGAATAGCATTTTTCCATATATGAAAATTGTATGGCTAGCATATTTGGTCAACCCGGGTTGTAAAATACCCATCGGGTCAATTGAAGGTTTCTTACTTTCTTTCTTACTTTCTTTCTTTCTTTCTTTCTTTCTTTCTTTCTTGCTTTGTTTCTTTTTTTTTTTGTCATTAGATTTTCAACCGTTTTTAAATTTTTTTGAATTCTTACGAAAATTAATCTCCCAAATCTGAAATTTTGGTTCCAATGCAAAACAAAATATCGAGAGAAGCTCCCTGAATAAACTGCGACTTCCAAATTTCCTGACAAAAAAGTTATAACCCTCAGAAAAGTCAAGTTTTTGATATACCCTCTTCTACAGCCATAAAAATTCCTGTGGAAGAAAGTTTGCCACAGCTTTTGATTTTTTCATTTTCTCAATATTTGTCTTCAAAAGCCGGAGATTTTGTGTTCAATGGAGAGAACGAGTTGTGGCAAGTTCTCCTGCATTGGAGAATTAGGCCGAATTAGGCGAAAATTTTTTACAAAGAAAGATATCGTCCCCGGAAATTTGTTTTTGTGGGTTTTTGACAGTTTTGACAATTTTTTTGACTTATCTCAATTACTAAGCACAAGTGGCTTAGTCCAATTTTTTTACCAAAAGTTATCGTCTTTAGAAAGGTCATATTTTTGTTTTTTTTTCTACCGTTTTTTTGAAATTTTTAAAAACTTCAGGAAAACTACCCTCCCACATCTGAGCTTTTTGTTTTAAGTTTTGAGACGATTTCTTTATAAGCGGTTATACCCAATTTTTTTATACAAAATAATGGACTTCGTGAAACACAAAATGATTTTTTGACCGTTTTTCGAATTTTGAACAACCTTAGTTTATATCAAAAAGCACCTTCACGGTTTTTAAAAAAAGGTACCAACGAAAAGATTTCCCATTCCCCTGTGTGCCTGCATATTCTTCTGAACTTCTCAAATCATACGTCACTATCTACAGCCTTCAAAAACCTCTGTCAAAAACTACCTTGCCAAATCTGAGTTTCTGTGCGCAGACAAAAAAAACGAGTTGTAGGAAGCTCTCTTGCATAAGTTCTCGAAAAAGTTTTGATCATTTTTTGAGATTTTGAACTTCTCTCGAAAACTGCACTTCCAAATCTGAATTTTTTGGTTTTAATCAAAGGACAAGTTTTTTGAAGCTCCCCCATATTAGCGGCTACGCCAATGTTTTTGTGCACAAAACCTAATAGCCATCAGGTAAAAAAACAATTTTGAGCTTTTGACCGTTGTTTAAAAAAAATTTATTTGTCCAAAACTACCCTCCCAAATCTGATGTCATTGGGAAAATTACATATCTCAGTAATTTTCACTCTTTTTTCAGAAAAACACTAAGACTAAGATTTGGTGTGAAGCCAAGTTTTTCTGAAATTCTGAAATTGCTCATTTCCTGCATCAGAACAACAAATTCAAAAACAATTAAACGGGTACCTCCATCTTACGAAAATGTATGGTGTTTTGTTTTTTAGTTTCTTAGACGCATCTGAAAAGCTTTTTATTTTTCTCTAATAATTAGGGTTGTCTCAAAAATTAATTTACGTGTTATAATTTGAAAGACAGCCCACCTTCCTACGTGTCTGGTTTTTCCTTGGAATCTTTTTACCATAACACGTTTTCTACAGCCTTCAAAATCTCTATGGAAGAAAATTTTGACACAACATTTTGATTTTTCTTTCATTTTCTCAAAAACTGCTCTCAAAAAGGTAGGAGGATTTTGTGTTCAATGGAGAAAACGAGTTGTGGGAGGCTCCCTTGTATTGGAGGGTAAGCCCAAATTTTTTACAAAAAATATATGGTCTCAAGAAATTTCGTATTCTTTGGTTTTTTTTGACAGTTTTCGAAATTTTTTGACATATCTCGAAAATTACCCTAACAAATCTGAGTTTTCGGTTCCAATCGTTACGATGGGTTGTAAAAAATTCCATTGCATAAGCAGCTACGCCGAGACTTTCTTTCGAAAACTACCCTTCCAAATCTGAGATTTGGGTTCAATGGAGAGAAAAACTTGTGGGAAGCTCCTTTACATTAGCAACTAAGCCCACATTTTCAATCAAAGCCTTATGGCCTTCTGAAAAGTCATTTTTTTGATTTTTGAAACATTTTGAATTTTATCGAAAACTGCCATCTTAAGTTTGAGTTTTTGGTTTCAATCGAAATAACAGGATGTTTGAAGCTTCCTTGTTTAAATGTCTTAGCCCAATTTTTTAGCCTAAGTCATAGTTCATTTGATAATTTGACCTTTTTTTGAAACTTCTTGCCTTTTCTCAAAAACTGCCATCCCAAATCTGAGATTTTGGATTCAATGGAGGAAAATGGTTGTGGTGAGTTCATCTGCATTAGCGGCTACTCCCCATTTTTTTAACTAAAAAAGATCGTTCTCGGAAGGGTCATATTTGTAACTTTGTGACCGTTTTTGATACTTATCGATTTTTTTAATGAAAATAATCCTTGGAAATCTGAGATTTTGAGTTCAATCAAAGAAACAGGTTGTGTGAAACATCACTTCAAAAGCGGCTCCACTCAATTTTTTTTTCACTTAAAGTAATGGTCCTCGTAAAAGTCAGAAAGTTGATGTCGAAAGCAACCCTTCCAAATATAAGATTTTGGGTTCAATCGGTTGAACAGATTGTCTTAAGCTCCCCTATATAAGCGGTTACGCCCAAAGTTTTAAAAATTATGGCCCTAGCAAAGGTCAAATTATGACGTCTTAATAGTTTTTGAAATTTTTTGTTTTGTCTCAAAAACTGCTATCTTAAATCAAGTTTTTTGTTTCAATCAGAAAAAAAGTCGGGAAAAAAATTTATGGCCCTCAGAAAAGTCAATGTTTTGATTTCTTGTCCCTATATCGAAAATATTTGACTCTTCTCAGAAATACTTTAACCGAAGCAAGCAACAGGTTATGGGAAGCTTCCGTGCATAAGCGGCTACGATAAGTTGTTATCGAGTGTTTACGAAAAATGTTGTTTTTGGGAAAATTACAAATTCTCAAAAAAAATCACTCTTATTTCATTAATGTTTTGGAGAAACCCATGAAGTTTTTGTGTGAAGCTCACTTTTTGATTTTTTGAAATTATCTCTTTCACGCATCAATACAACAAATTCAAAAACTATCGAACAGGTACCTCCGTCTTTAGCTGCGCCCCCTAATTTGGTTCCAACTGCAAACACTTAAGTTAGCGACCGACTCCTCAAATTTTGTCAATCAATTAATGTGACCGCGTCTAATTAGTTTTTTAACGGAATTTTTGAACTGTTGTTTTTGCTCACAATGATAAGACCTCGGAAAAGGAGATATGTGCATTTCAGGGCGTCAAAAGCTGATACCTTATGTTCCCAGTTTCCCCGATTATTTAATAGTGAAAACTCAGACCGTCAGAAAAATTGTTTCATCTCTTGCCAATTGTGTGAGATAGATTTTTTTTTGCGCACGTTTTTAGCTACCTTAAGAAAGCTTTTGCTCACAATGATAAGACCTCGGAAAAGGAGATATGTGCATTTCAGGGCGTATGGTGTCAAGTGAGTTATCGCATTAAAATCCTTTCAGCCGTTATTCAGATTCCATAGCAATATTTTGTTTCATCCTACGAGAATAACTTGTCCAAAACGGCTTATAAATAGCATCCTAAGGTGCAACATTTTGAATCAAAGACTTCTATTTTCAATTTTCTGAATAACTTTTCTACTTAATCAGGTCTGGCTTACTATAAAAAAACTTGTGCAGTTTTTAAATTTCATTATTAGTTATGTTACAATACGAACGTCAAAAACACTTAATGCAGTTAAATTTCATCTACTAATTGTGTGTGTGAAGTGAGCTACATCATGTTTTCAGAAGTTTCAGTGAATAATTCATTCCATGATTGTTATCCCAGAATTCCCCTGCGTCGCATTTGTAGCGCAAACAGAACACCACTTTATCTTCAATGTGGTCTCGGTTGAATTCATATTCGAATGAAAATCGTTCACACCCTTGATTTTCAGACCCTTTCACATATACAGCTTCCAATTCGTCAAACGTGTCCCAATGATCTAGAGTGTATCGAATAGCGACTTCTTTGTGGTATCCCAAGTTAGAAACTAGAACTGCTCCCAGAATGCGAAACCCAAAAATCTGGATGCTTTCAAGTTTGATTTTCTGAGTTTGCGCTTTCTCCCGAGCTGCGCTCGAGGGCGGAAGATAGAACAAGGGTGCAAAAACATCCGAGTTTTCGTATCGGTTTGCGGATCCCATATTGTATTCTTCGAAGTCTTCCCAGGAATCGTGAAGAGTGCAATCGACTTCTTGCAAGTTATCGAATGAGAGAACATGTGACAATTTATGGCCATGATTGTCGGCAAATGTGACGCTCTTGTTCAGAGGACTCCTTACCTTTGATTGGTCAGAGTTTGGCGGGTAGAGCAACGATTGGTTGGTAAGAGAAATATGACGACATTTGGAACAATCGATTATGCTTTTCAATTGATCGCTCGTTTCACCTCTGGCTTTTTCCTCGTGTTCTCCGCAGTGACCGTTGCTCTCAATGCATTTTTCAGATCCTGAATCACTGTCTTGGAGACCGTTTTGATGAGTTTCCTTCTCAATGTAGACGGGAATCATAGCCTAAATTTAACTTATATTTCAGTGCAAAATTAACAGGGGCTGTTAAGAAAACTTCCCGATGTTTCTTTCTAAAAAGTATCAACTAAAGGGAAGTCGAAAAACTATAGAATGCAAGATTTTTAAGCAGCTTTTTTCTACAATTGCCCTTTATTGATACGTTTTTAATGGTGGCGAGCGGCGCACCTTCCACCGGGATTCGCCCATCTTGCTACTTAAAGGGCCGGGCCTGACCCTCTTTTGGCACTATTTTACGATATCCATTTTTGCAAGAGCAAGGTGAATACTTTCTGAAGCCGCCTCTGGCGCCAATAAGGCAAAATTTAAGGGTAGAATTTTTTTAGTTGTTATTTTCTACGGTTGCAGGAAATTCCAGAACCAATGTGGACGAAAATTTTCTTCCAAATCAGTACCATCACTCGAAAAATTTTTAGATTGCCCTTGCGTTCCGTTCGATTGAGATAATTTACGACATATTAATTTTTGGATTTGACCTGAAAAAGTCCTTTATTTCATTTTTATCAATAAAGAAATTGAATAGAGTAAATGGTTCTTTTACCACACACAAACACGACCTTTATTTGGGTCGTGTGGTTCTTCGTTTTCCCGTTACAGGTTTGTAATCTACCTGTTATCACTCAATTTTTGTAGGCAAAATTGGTCGAAATTATTTATATCAGAATGAGAATAATGCCCTGAGTACTCATCTAAAAAAATATGCCTCTAATTATTTTTCATTAAAATATCGTTGTTTGAAAGTTGCCAATTTCGATATCTTGGCATAAATAATGCGGACCATATTTAAATTTTAACTAAAACGCCATGTATTTTTTTTTTTGAAATCTGGCGGAGCTTCCATTTGAAACTAATAATCATAATAAATTGCAATATTCACTCCATTCACTATAAAGTTCATCATATTTACAACTAATTTATATCTCATCGCGAGAAAGCCGTGGAACTTTGCAGCCGGTTTTCAGGTGCCTCTTATTTGACCTAAAATAGCGGGAATCATAAACCTAAATTATTTATATGTTCTGCAGGCTAGTTGCTACAAATATTGTGTTGCTAGACGCAACGGTCATCGAATTTTAACTAACATTGCTCGTGAGGAGAAGGTTTAAAAAATCTTCAATTGAGCCAAATTTAATTTTACGTTCTGCTCGTTTCGAAAGTTGTTTCACGTTTCGAAAGCGTTTTTTTTATTGTTCCAACCATTTGAAAAAAGGGCAAGAACTTAATATTCGGGTGTTTTAGTTTTTTTTTTTCGTTTTTTTTTCACGCAAAATCAGGTACCACAACTAGTGATTGGACTGGGTTGAGTGATATATCATGTTGAAGCTCTTTTATTTTCGATTCCAACGAAATTTAAAGTTTTCCAAACAATTATCCCAGTGTCGAGAAAAATTGGTTCAAAGTTTTTAATTTTTCGTCTTATTTCGACAGAATAAAGCGAACAGTTAAAATGATGATGACTTGTTAAATTGCATTCAGGATTAAAAAATTGATTTTTCCAAATGAAAACGAGTTTTGAAAGTTTCATTTGGCTACTTACCTGAGAAAAAAGTGTTCAAATAATTTTTGAAGTTGTGCACAAAATAATAGTCATACTTTGTTTGTTATCCCTTTTTTCTGAAGAAAACAGTTGTCGATTATAACTTATTCACTAGATTTTTATGCGGGTGTAGAATTATCTTTTCATACAACGAACAAAAAATGACACTGATTTAAAGAATTTTTATTTGTAGTTTTTATGATTATAATTCAAAGAATCCCATCCATAGCTATATGACATGATTCGTCAAAATTGGTTTTTTTTCTGGCTCCAAAAAATAAAAACCAGTGTTTACGTATAACTCAGAGGTTTATTGAAAAAAAATTCACATTTTTGTTTCGGAATTTTTTTTCTAAATGCGTGGATTATAACCGCTATATAAAATTTTCTACATGCATAAAATCGAAAAAAAAAAATCCAACAAGATTTTTATCTGTTATTCCGGTGTAGCACACATTCAAGTGCTTTTTGCTTTTTTCAAATGTTGGGAAAAGTGCTATTATAGAACTTTTCTTTTGAGAACGTTGAAATTAGGAATAGAACTACTAATTTCTTGAAAATTCAAATAGAACTTTTATAACTCAAGTAGTAATTAGGTGAAACCCGTTTCAGAAAGTAATTTTTTTTTCAAAAAATGTCTCAATATTTTTTTGGGTTCGTGGTTTCTGTCTTAGTTTCTGTCGGTACAATTTCCGTTTTTTGTGAAACGCTAATTTTTTTTTCGCTGAAAGGATTTTTACAGGCTTAGTTTTTGGAGCATGAGTTATGCTCCAATTTAAACAGCTTTTTCTACAACAACTGAAAAATCAGTAATTTGTATACTTACTAAGTCTGATTTTGGATTATTTTTTAATTTTTTTTATTTTCTTCTTTACAAGTTCAAAGAGCTTCAGTTTATGCGGTATCGGCTATTGCACCATTTTGAGGGCAAATATATTTGCATTCGTTTTGGTGTTTTAGATTGGATGGGTCTTAAAATTTTTTGAAACATTATGAGTTTTTTTGATCACCACCGTTTTGTTTTCGGCTCAAACAGGTTTCGACCAAAATTTGTAGATGCTCGGTTATTGATTTTCACTTTTTAAGGCTGTTTTAAAATTACTTTCTACACAACTATGAAGTTTTTTGTAGCTGTAGCTTTTTCAACGTTTCAAGTTTTTTCTTAATTGTTTATTCAACCTAATTTTTCAGAACTTTTTTCAGATAATTTTTTTCAACTTCAATTTTCAGAATTTTTTTTGCATTGCACGTTTTTGCATCGCAAGTAAAATTAATGATGCTGTTGCAAAGGAAAAAACCCTTTCTTTGGTCCGTTTATTTTCAATAAGCTGAGAAATCAGTAAAGTCATTTTCTGCGGCTCAGAAACAGAATGCAAAGCAAATAAGGTTATTACGCTTGAGTGTAGCAAACGTTATCAAATCGGAACATACTTTTGCAAATTAACAACCAGTTTAAAAAAATCACTAAACCATTTTCTTAAAAGTTTTTTTTTGAGCATGTTTGCATTTTAAGTTAACGATTTATTCAAAATTTTTTCTCATCCTGGTTGTGGACCTATCAAATTGCTTTTTGATTTGCTTCTTTTTTTTGCCTAAATATTTATTTGGCTATGAAAGTTTTGGCTCATTTTATCGGTTTAGTCAAATCATTTTGCGTCGGTTGAATGGTAATAGTAATTATTTATTCGTGTGTGCTGGTGGACTTGAAAACCTGAACTGTACTAATTTTTGTGGCTCAAAATCGATCATGACAATGTTTTTTTAGCTCACCGGGCGCCTACCCAAACTTTATCGTAATATCTATCCATTCAAAAACTTCTAAGTGCTAAACTAATGCTAAAAATTGTACTATTGGGCCGAAAACCAATTTGAGATATATATACGTATGGAAATTTTGATAGACCTAGTTTTCGATTGTTCGTAACAAATGTTTCGCCTCAAAGCCCTCTTTAATTTTTCTGTCGACTAGCTTGCCGTGTGATGTTTGTAATGAATCACAAATGGTGCGAAGCTTCGCTCCACCTCTGATTTGTTGTAATGATATTTTTAGCTGGCAGTGAAGCACGTTTAAAAAGCACATTAGGTCAAGCACATTTCTGAACTCCTCGGTTATGCTATATTTCTCAAATCTGCTACAAACATGGTTGAAATGACGAATGAATGATTTTTTTTCTGATTCTTATTAAGAATTTTCTGACCTCAAAATCGGCATCGCTCACGCAGCCTTCGTCTATGCTTCCCACTTTGAAACACCTGCCAATCTTTCTTTTGGGATCCCGCTCGCACTTTATAGTCTCGCTCGCACTTTCCTTCAATAGCTCTCCGTTGGTGTGATCACTCTTTTTCGATATTGAAATAGCAACGGAAGTTCCGAGTAGCGATTCTGTTTCAATAGCTGGATCCATCATACTAGTTTTCGTGTCGTTCCAGGTTTAATAAGATAATTGTTCAATAAGATAAGAATTAAAAAATAAGACAGTAACTATAAATTCAGGTGAGATCAGAAAATTGGTAATATCAGAATTTTATGCTATAATAACATTTACTTCTTCTGTTTGATCACATTTTACGTGTTTTTGTCTGTCTCGAGTAAATGTGAACAAAACAACAGCGAACAAACGAATTTTTTGGTTGAGTCTACAAAAATGTCAGAAAAATAAGTCAAACGTGTAATTGACGACTGATTTTTAGAGCTAAAAATGATTAAACGTGAAAGAAGAGATTAAATGACAGACTCAACGAATAACATTGAAAAATAATTTTAAGAAACGTTTTTCTGAAGACTTAAAATGCCAATGCAGATTATAAAAAGCCTTTAAACAAAAATACGCTTTCTATTCATCACGCTTCATTGAACCACAAATTGTTTTTCCTATTATTTTCCCTTAAGAGCACAATAGCTAATTATTATACAAAGAAATAAAAGAAACTGTAAAATATACAGAAATTGGCAGGCAAAAATCTGTCCAAGTGTGAGAAAAGATTGAAGAATGCTTATTGACATATTGGTTGATATAATTAGTACAAAAATTTCGGACAGAAAAAATTAGTTAAAAAGAGCATTTAACGTAAATTGGAAAAGTTTTCACGCAAAAACTAATTTTTAGACCAAAGTTTGTGTCCAAGGTTTGTCTAAAAAAAACGAAACTGCATGCAAAAATCTGCCAAAATGTAACAAATGTTCTTTTTAATTAGCTCTCTCTGTCCGAACTTTTTCATAGCAAAAAATTGAACAGACAATTCAAAAAAATAATTGGTTTACTTCAGAAAAAAAATATAATTTTCAGACAGATATTTTGTTTCAAAGTTTTCTGAATTATCTAAGTGCATGCATTGCAAATTCACGACTATTGGCAAAGTGTCTCAAAAAGCAACTGCGCATGGTTTAAAAAATTGATACCAAGAAAACATCGCCATGCTTAAGTGGGCGTGCGATTCGGCATGGAGTGTTTTATGTGTTGCTGTTCTATTATTAAGTTTTAAATCCACGATTTATCATCATGCCTTCAAGATTGGCGAATGGTATTTTTCAATTAGCTCTGTCTGTCTAGACTTTTTGCGGGTCTCTTTATACAGGTTCGAAAATTGCAGTTTTTTGTTCCGTGTTAGTTATTTCGCCGAGGCTACAAAAAATGAAGTATACATGATTCAACGCTAATTTTGTGTTTGGAAATAGACTATTCGAAGTTCGTTTAAAAAAACAAAGTCTACTGTAATTTTCATCGTGGCTGAAAATTAAAACATTTGTGGCTTAGCTTTCGTTGAACCCATTTAAACCCGTAGACAGTTTTGTCCAAACAATAGAAAAGTCTAAGCGTTGTTTTTCAGAACTAAATCAAATACCATATCTGCAAAACAACTGGTACAAATTTTATTTTCTAAGTAAGAAAACCACCAGAATTTATTTTGACTGAAGCTTTTATAAATAAAAACAAGCATGTATTTGCAGCAAATTATCTGTCAAGCGCCGTACCACACGCTAAGTAAGCTAAATTTGAAGCGTTATACCTACGACGTGCGTCTACTTTGGTATAAATGCCTTTCTTACCTTAACCTCTATGAAGATAGAATATAAAACATACCATGCTGCGGTTTTAAAGCTCAATTCGTTCACGATTCTGCCAATGGACAAATGTGAAGTTCACGTGAACACGCAAAAGAGGAATTGTTAGGAAATTGCCCCTGTTCAATATTACCTAAACTGGACCCGTTGATTTGCACAGCAAGGGATTATAACAAGCTTAGCTCAAATGACAGAAAAAAATAGGGCCGATTTTTTTCAATATTAATATTTCTTCAAGTTCAAGTTTTTTATTCTTATTTGTAACTTTGCATTTGGAAGCATGCTTACTTATCTCTAGTTTTAAAAAAGATGTGATTAAAGCTATTAGAAAAAATGGTTAAAACATTTTTATGTCAAAAGCGAGGTCATGTAATAGTGTAAATTTTGGTTGTTCGGGATTTCAATGTTTCAATTTGAGACGAATTTGAAATTTCGAATCAACTCAGATATACTGTGGAATTAGCAAAGCTCTGCCCATCTAATAAAACCGGTTTATCAGACAGAGTATCTGTGCGTTTTAAGCCCAAACCTAATTTGAAGTGTTTTGGTTCAGTTTTGTCACAAAATTTGCAGCTACCAAGCTACCAATAAATATCAGGAACTAATTTGCAAACCCCAAAATAAAAATAAAGCAAACAAATTCAATCGACTAGTTTTTGAGGAATCTATATGTTTAATTATTCACATGACGATAGAACAGATAAATTATTAAGGAACCCTGAATGTGACGGGAGCCATTATTATGGCCCGCAGCTAGAAATAAATCAGAGTAAAAATCTACAATGCTCTCCAAATTAATGAACAGTAAAAAAGGAAAAGAACACGCTTGGATTTGTTCCTGTTCCGGATATAGTCTTGTGCCTTTGCTAGGGAATTATGGGAATTATCCAAGACTGACCATTGATTAGGATTCGTTATACTGAAAACGCGGAACTAACCCGTGTAGTCTTTCCTTTCATCCCACCCTGCAATTATAGACCACGATTTGAGCCAAATGATGGCGTGGATGGAAATGAAAAGAGACGATAACCAAAAAACGGAGATAGGCAGCCATTGAGCTATTAAAAGAAGATGAAAGCTTTGAAAGGGTAAGCCGTCATGACATAAAAAACGAATGACAGAAAGATATCTTATAGCTCATCAGAAATTGGAATTTTGAAGCCTGGAGAAAACTTGCCAACACAGCCTGAAAACAGATAGAAGACTTCGATTGGTTAGAAATTTTTGATCATCGCTATAGTACTGCTATGAGAACAGTTCCAATATTGGTTGGCCTTCAAAATGTAATAAAATTTAGCTACGATGAACAGGAAATATGGTTCATTGGGTAAACTACGCTATACATGCACAACTCCGACAATTAAATCACCTGAAAGTAGAGCAAAAAGCAAAAGTAGAGCAAAAAAGTTAGCGGCAGAATATAAGTTCTCGGGGTGATTTTTCTTCAGCAAGTTTTCGACTTCAAAATTGAAAAGAAAAATTTTATTTTGTAAATTGTTCCGACCATTGAAAATGGGGAGGAGCTTTATATTCGGGAGTTTTATTTTTTTGTTTTCCCCCCAAAATCAGACACCACAAACAATCATTGAACTGGTTTGAGTGATGTATCATATTAAAGCCTTTTCAGTCGTGATTCGAACTATTTTAAAAAAAAATTTCAAAAATTTTTCCCAGTATCGAGAAAAACCGGTTTGAAATTTTTGATTTGCTCTCGTCTAATTTCGAGCTAGTGAAGCCAGCGAGCAGGCTGACAATAGCTTATTTATGCTTAACTTCAGCCGTAACAACTTAGTTTTACTCGAGTAACATTTTCTTTTCTAATTTTGTTGGCGCCATTTTGGGAATCAGAAATTTAATTTGAAAAAACTTGAAAAAATGTTTGTAAACTTTTTGACTTTTTAACGATTTTTTTAAAGTTTACTTTTTGAAATTGTTCGTTTCACAGTTTCTCTTGTACTATAGGTTGGTGAGTAGGTTGAACGCATGGAAATGGTTCAAATTTGCTGTACCTACGGCCTAGGCTTGAAAAAATATGTATACAAAATTATGGGAGAGTGAGTTGAAGAGTGGAGGGGGGAGGGGGGGAGGGGGAGGTCGGAGGGGTTGGTGACGCTTTTTTTGCTTAAGGGGGAAGTGGAACTGTTTTTTGATTTTTTTTGAACTGAAATGAGCTAACAACATGTAAACATATGAAGTCTAATGTAAATTGTAGAGAAATGCAAAGCAACTAAGCAACATGGCAAAAAAAGAAGTGTGAACAAACATGTAAGCTGTAATCAAAAACCTCTCAAAGTATCGATTGTAGACAACTCTAATCAATTGAAATGAGTTAGATTGCCTAAAAATTAAGAATTCAGCCCTTTGTTTTTCTTCAGAAACTACGAAGTATCAATAAAATTGGTTCAAATCCATTGGCGCTCGTTGCGGGTTGAACTTTTGTCTAACTTCTTGGTTCAAAGAATACAGTTGCTAGTAGCTACGGTAATTGATCATATATCTGCCATTCTGTCTACTGAGAATTTTGGTCGTTCTGACGTTTGGTGAAGAAATCAAGATGACACATTTTTTTTTGTTTTTGAACGACTGTGGTTTTCATAGAATTAAATTTAAAAAAACTGGTGAAACTAGTTGTCTTTCCTTTCTTGAAGTTTTCAAAGTGATTTGAGTAGTAGCTGATTTAGATCAAGAAACTTGATCTCTTCAATCTTAAGATAGAGTATATTCACCACGCTGTTTGTTTTTGTCAGGATAGGTTCATGCAAGTTTTCAAATCTCAGTCCTATTCTCAATTTCGTTAGTCTCAATAAATAATTTTCCTGAACCAAAGAGTTCAAAAAGCAAAAAACTTTTCCAAAAAACTCTAAAAAGTATTTTAAAAACTTTTTTTCAATGATTTGTTTCGTTTTCTATTGATTTATTTGAAAAACTGTTGCCCAATTTGCTGATTTTACCATGAATTTTGATTTGGCCTAGAGTCTAGTTTTTTAATCTTTCAATCACCTTACGCAATAAAAAACCACTAACTTGAATGTATGTATTTGAGTATATTGAATATATTTCATATTTAAACACGAATTTGAATATCTATATCTAATTATAACTTGCATAACTTGCATATATATATATATAAATACAGGGCGGATTTAAAGGGGAGAGGGTGAGGGGTTTTGATGCTTCTTTCAGGGATGCGACCCGCTGCCGACCCAAAGGCTCCCCCTGTATGCTATTTTGACGTATCTTTTTTTGGCTGACGGACTAAAAGTTTTTGAAAATTTTGTTGAACTTTTTTTAGGTCGACCAAATTGATTTTTCGAGGTCTTCAAAAGCACTACAATGACCTAAAAAACAGAGGCCAAGAAGACGTTCTTAGGTACTTAATGAAAAATTTTGACCAAAAAAAAATGCGTTTTTTTGGCGCGCCCTCCCCCCTCAAAATTAGTATAGATTGGCGCCAAAGATGCCTTTAGAAAATTTTTAGGTTCCGTCGCCAAATATGGATATCTCAAAATAGTACAAAAGAGGGACCCTTTGGGGCAGCACGGGGTCGAATCCTTGAGGGGGGGGGGATCCGCCCCCGCCCCTGTTTCAAGCTAATTTAAAGCAAATCCGAATCCATGCCTTGCGTTCAACAAAATAACTAAACCTCCCTCTTCGCCAATTTACGATCGGTTGATTTTTGTTCTGAAAATTTATGAAAAATAAGTTATCGCAGAGAGCGTTGAAGGGGGATGTTGGCGAAGTGAGTGTCTTGAACGGGGAAGGGGGAGTATAATCCAGTATAATCCAGTATAAATCCAGTATAAATCCAGTATAATCCATTATATTTGACTATAATTGATTATTTATTTTTTGGACTGAAAGCGAATATTTTTGTCAAGTTAATCCGTTATAATCAATCATTTTAGAACAAAAAACCCATTATAATCAATTATATATTTTTCATTTTGGTTCTAAAATCGATTTTATTGCAATCACGTGCAAAATTTTTGCAAGAAGCTTTAGCCATGTGATAACTGTTGAATTAACTCAAGTATTTGTAAAACAGAATAAGTAAAACGTTTTAATTTAGACTGCTAACTTGTCTTATTTTAGATCTGAGATCATGCCTGTCTTTTCATGTCTCTCTATCAACAGCAATGTCCTAACTGACTATTGCGTTTGGCCTGCAATGAACGGCCTTGAATAATAATAACAATACATAACAGAATAATTAATAGCACTATTCTCAGAGGTTACTGTGGCAGCAGTACTACACGGTACCACATTCCCCTGACGACAACAAAATTTTATATAATACTTTATGAAATTTTATAAATAATACGAGATATCAAAGTTTAAGAAAATTGTTCTCCTTTTCATTAGTCTTTTGTTATTTTCTTTAATACTTCTTCTTTGTTTCTTGCGGCGTTCCATGATCCCGCCTCGTCCAGTGACGTAGCACCAAACTTTCTCTTGAAAAGGTGTCTCTCTAGCCTGTCAAACGTGTTGGTTTCCGACGTTTCCTTGTTGTTTATGTTCAACTTCGCTAGTCGCAATCTGTAGGCCTCAAGTGCTGCCAGGTTCAACTCGGTGACATCATCCTCACAACCAATCAGTTTTATCGAGTGTGATACGGGACTGCCATACCTCTTCGGTCCCTGGTTTTTAGTTTGTCTATTACTCCGTCTGACTGTCGTGGTGTCTTCCTCCTTATCAGATTCATCCGCAAATCCTGGTGTGGAATAATCTACTGGGTCCATTTGTCGTGACATTAGTTTTTCGGCTTCTTTTTGGACTCCGCGGGTCAACACTTGATTTGTTACATCTTCCCATTCTTGAGATGTCATGTTATTGTTTTGAAATGTGTCCAGAATTTCTTTTTCGCTTGTCTGTTGTGTGATCTTCTTGGTAGTAGGAACTTCCTTTGGTGTCGACGACGGTATATATACTGCCTCGTTACTCGTATCACGTTGTTTAGTAACTGTTTTGGCAGCTTTCGTCGTTCCTGATTCTTGTGTTTTGCCCCTTGTCGGTTTTGTGTTCTGGGCTACTGGTCCTGCTCTGTTCAGTTTTCCCCGTTTACCTCCTAAGTTAAGGCCTCCGCCGGTTCTTGTGTCTCTTGATGTGACTACGCTCGGTGAGTTTTGGAACTTTTCTTTTAGCTGACTATCCTCTAGATTTTCATCTCTCAGCTCCCGGTCTTTCGCGTCGTGTTCTTCGGCAGAATCGCTGTCTTCCTCTACTGGAAGTGTTCCTGTTTTTTGTTGTTTACTTCTCGGTTCCTCTCCGGTTGGGCTCCTTTTCTTCTCTGGATTATAGACTTTGGGCTGTGTTGACAGTTTAGATCGTGCAATGTCGCTTTTTCGATATACTGCACCCGCAGCCGTTGTGATGGTCGATGGTGTCGCTGATACTATCTTGGATTTTAAGGGTATTGTCAGGGCCTTCCCGCTCTTCCTTTGTTCGTGTTTCCGAAGGAGACTTCCAGACAAATCCTCCTTTGATTTGGTTTGTTTGTCTTCGATGAATCCACGTTCCCATGAGTATAGAAGTTCTTTCCTCAGTTCGGGATTTATCGTGCTGGTTTCATCTACGACCCGGCGTAATTCACTGTCTGAGAGGTCCCGTCTGGTGGCATTCCACTTAGCGTTTGCCTCTAGAAGTTGTTTGAGTTCTTTAGCTCTGGCCCTCTCTTTTGCCATCGCCGTGTCGTGTCGAAACAAAGGGCTTGTATCCCTGCTATTTCGTCCTTTGCGAATGATTTTAACATTCTCCCTCGACTGATCTATTCGCTTTTTCAGCTGTGATGCTGTTAGTGCCGATCTCTCCAAGTGTTCTTTATCTAAACGATCAGAATCCATCAAAAATTTATCCCTAACAATCTTAAATTTCGTTTTCGGTAATCGGCCAAAGTGTGCTTCGAACGGGGACACTTTTATTGATTTCTGTTTATTCCATCTTAGGTCCCTAATTATTGTACTCAAACATAATTTAATCGATTGTACTTTCTGGTCGAGTAGCATTACCCCCAATCTTCTTTTAATGGTTTGTATCGTTCGTTCGACTAAGCCACATCCTCGGTGATCCCCGACTGGACAGAATTTTTGTGCGATGTTATTTTCCGTGCAAAATTTTTTCATAGCTTTCCCTTTGAACCCCGAAAATTGGTCC